TCTGTTCGACGGCGATATCCAGTGCCTTCTTGCCATCACTGGAGGCCAGATCGTAGGCGGCCTTGTGCTTCAGCAGTAAATACACCTGCGCAATGTGTCCCTTGGCCGTGGATATATGCAGAGCGCTGTAGCCCATCTCGTCGACTGCATCAATGGCAGCGCCATTCAGCAGCAGATACTCGCATGCCATCACGGAGCCGGACAGCACAGCCTGGTGCAAAAAGGAGCGCTGTCGATCCTCTGCATTCTTCCAGTGCTTGGACGCGCCCAAAGCGAAGGCCATACACATCACGGGAAGATTATGCACAGCGGCTGCCTTGTAGAGCAGCAGATTGGCATCCAATTGAGTGAAGGGTATTTCCTCTGGCATCTCTGTGTCGGATTCGCCTTCAGTGCTCTCCTGGTCGCTGCCCAAAATGCCGGGAGTTTCGTACCTATCCAATGCCAAATCATCGCCAATTACTAACAAGTCATCCCGCGATATGCTCAACGACATTGATGGAATGTTTATGGACTCGTCATCATCATCGTCCAGTTCGTCTCCAGTTTTAGCTGTGTTGTATATGCTCGGATCATCGCTAAATGTCTTGGTCAACGGCCTCTGCTGGCGACGCCGCCGCAACTTCTTCACCGTCCACTTGCGTGTGCCGCCCAGCGAGAGAGTCGCCCGCTTGCTAGTAACTCCTCCACCAATGCTTCTCCCAGCATCTACGCCGCCATCGTCGGCTGCTTCGCCGCTTTCTATGCTTAGCACCTCGGCAGTTTCGCTAGCCATTAGATCCTGTGGCTTCGGCATGCCGCACACAAAACGCCGCTCTACATACTTTGCCTTGATCCAGGCCTCGCGCACTCCAATCTCACATTGCTCCGTGGGCTTCCTTAGCTCACAGTCTTCGGGGATGCGTGCCTCATAGATACGATTGACGACCTCGTTGCCCAATTCCATCATCACCTTGACGTTCTCCGTTTCCCAGGCATCTAGGGTCAGGGACCGCACCTTGCTGTAATGCACGCCCAGGCTGCGATGCACTCCGGAGCACTCGATGCACAGCGTTATGCCCAAGTTGATGGAAGCCCAGCGCGGATTCGAGCCGCGACAGTCACAGCACTGTGCATTGCCCGGTATTTTGAGAAACTCCTCCCAGTGGCTGAGTATGACTCATTATAGAACTGTTATCAATACTTAGGTTACTTCACACTTACATTCTTCGCTTCGCGGGAAGCGCGTTCGTGGCACTCGTCGACTGCGGACGTGAGTGGTGCGCGGATGCATGCTGGATGGCCGCGCCAATGCTATGCTGCAGCGCCGAGATCCACAGCGAGAGCATGTCCGCGGAGTCCGCTTGGAGTGTGTGAGATCTGTGTGAAATTCATGGTTATTATATAACAACTCGTCGAGGGGAACTGTACCCACTTGGTTGGCGAGATGACCTCGAAGCAGAAGCGGCGATCACCTTCATTGACCGGCCGCACGGTGCAGATGCGCAGATCCTCCTCCATGACCGAAAACGAGTCCTCGTTGCTGCGTTTTCTGGAATGCGAATCCAAATCACTTCAGCGTACAGCACAACAAATCACAATCACAAGCACAACAACAACAGAACAAGAGAAATGAGATTACGAGTACAAAATGGCAAACAAATGAAGACGATTCAACCGGCAAGCAAAACGAATGGGAAAAATCAAAAGAAATGAGCAAGGCTGGAGCATAAAGTAATTGCACGCACCTATAGACCAGCTGATTGTCGCTGAGGTAGAACCAACGTCTACACCAGGTCTTGAAGCCCTTCGATTTCTTCTTGAACAGATAACCCTCGACATTGTGCGAGGAGCTGTTCGTATTCGAATCGCAATACCGATTCACGCTCATGTGCCGATTCTGCATGACCTTCTCCAGCTGCTGATAGTCGCCGCGGAGCGCGTTCAAATCCTCGCTGATATTCTTGAAGAACTCGTCAAAGTCGTTGCACAAATCGAAGCCCTGATGGTAGTAGGTCACGCACGCCTGATAATAGTCCAGCAACTGTCAAAGAGAATATACGACGATCAGCAAAAAACACGTTCAACAATTGCTCTTATTTATGAATAGAATGAATACACATGCTGGCCCCCATATTGGAGACGTTCAGCGAACCTTCAACGAGGGCACTTCACGACCGACTAAAACTGCTGCCCGGTGCCAACTGACTCAACGCTGATCAATAAGCCAGCGATACAGAAAAAAAAATAATAAAAAAAAAAAATAACAAACTAGTACATATATATCCATTTGGAGTATATCGCGAACATGACGTCATAAGTACAATTGCTGTTGACTTTTTGTTATTTACGTTGAAGACAATGCCATTTCATTCACAGTAAACATATCGCCTTACCAAATGTCGATAAGAGCCGTAGATAGTATCAAATAATGTTTCGCCAAATAATAATCTTAATAATCTTAAGTATTTAGCATGAGTAGGCGCTACTTTGTGTGCTTTTGGCTGATTTATTTCTTCAATCTGAATAATTTACGATTTAAGCCTTATTATATCTGAGCTACTGCTAAGAACAGCGTAGTTTATGAAATCAATCTGATTTGTCAGCTCATCAATCAAAAACTACATAAGCATATCTATATATAAAAGAGATTTCGGTTATTTATAAGTCCTATGAAATCATTTAAATTCTATTTTAAACTGTAAAAGTTGAGGTTGTTTTATCTCAAAAATTAAATATACTATTAGCTAATACATATTATTGTATTTATGGACTAGACTCACCGTCGAGAGTATGGAAGGCACCTTGCGAGCCTGCACCAGCGTTATATAGTTCACATAGTCCAGAGCCGTGTGCTGAAAGCAAGACTTAGAAGCGGAGAGTATGTTGGCTGCCTCCTGGACTTCCTGTGGCCGATTTTTGCTCGCCTGTGGATGGAGAAGAGTTACCTCTTAAGATGGACACATATCAGGCATTGCACTGGACGCACCTGTGCGTTTTTAATGAGCGCATTGTCATAGCCCTCCGAGACTTTCAAGAAGTGTCCTTTGTAGTCCTTGACCTGGTTGATGTCGTCCTTGACAAACACATTGAGATTTTTCAACACCGTTCGACTGGCCTGGTCTAGCAGTATCGTGTGAAACTTATTCATTTCCTGTCGAAATATGCAGAAAAAAAAAACGCCACCAGATAAATAAAAAAGTCTTTCGCGTAATTACCTGCAATGGGCAACGCACCTGAAAGCAATGAATCAGCTTGCCCAGCGCATTGTGCGCATTTTTATTGTCGAGAAAATGCTGTTGCAGATCCCACAGGGACATGGCAAAGGCGCTATGAGTAATAAAAAAAATACGTTAAAGTCAAATGAAAATAAAACTTTGAACAGAGAGTAAGAGTGAAAAGTGCGCAGTTTACCTCTGGTTCTTGACATACTCTTTGCCCGAGTCGACAGCCACATTGCATAGCTTGATAATTTTCTCGAGCTTCTGCTCCAAGTGCTCGATGTCTGCCTCCTCCTTCGATATGAATTGTCTGGGCCAAGAACAGAATTGCAGACGTTAGTAGAAATCTTGTTATTGTTTAGTGGATGCAAACAACGACCCAGTCTCTGTCGCAAACGATTAACTTTGTCCACTTTGTGCACAGGGCGGGGGGCGTAGATGGTGGGGAAGAGTTTTACGGGCCTGCTGGCAATGACAGCTGCGGCGTACTCGCTGCTGACTGTTTATTTATGTTGAATTTTTTAATTTATGCCACTTTATTGAAGTGCCGCATGTGCGTTTAATTAAAAAAAGCAATTTTAAATGGCTTCAAGCCAGAATTGCATACGATAGCAAAAGATGGCAAAGTCTCTTTCCATCTCCTTAGTCTGCAATAGTTGTAATTTCTTTTTGTTTGTCTGTAACCTGTTGAGTCGTTTTGGTTCATGTGAAAGCTATCGAATAAGCTAAGCTTGGGCTGGCAATTAAAAAAATGTCTGTGGCAATCTAGCGAAAGCTTTGTCTCTGGGCGAGATTACTGGAAACTGAGATGGGCTGGCAATTGGGAGAAATCTTATCAATGAGCGCCGAAAGGCGTCCGATCGATTGACACAATAATTAGCAACAAACAAATGAACAAGCACACACACACATACACACATGCACATCCATGAGTGTGCGTATGTTTCCCATCATACGGTGAACGAATGATACATTCCGAAACTCTGACGATGTTGAAGCGAAGTGCAAAGTTTTCTCGATGATTAAGCGTCAGCTATATTAGAGCCGTTGTTAGGGAAGGGGGAGGGGGCGCTTCGAACGAAAGCTGTTGATAGCACGATATCCAAGCGGAACCAGTCACGCTACACAAAATATATAGCCAACCCACTGTCAGGGGGGAGCCCAAATGCAAATACCAAATGCCAAGTGCGGAAATAGAATGCGCATAATGCGCACCGTGTTTTGAGCAGGGCTGAGGGTGGTGGTAAGTGTGGCTTGGCTTTGTTATGTGACCGAAGGTGAGCCATCGCGATGGCTCAATATGTACCTGAATCTCGGCGAATCCTTTAGGCATTCCTCAAACTCAATTGTGGCGCGCATTGCTAGACACACACACGCACTCACACACGCGCACGCTACTGCAGTATTTGCACCGTTGGCTATTTACACAAATCGCGCAGCGAAATATTTGGCTTCTTTCAGCTGTTGCTTCTGCTGCTGCTGCTGCTGCTACTACGGCTGAAATTGATCCCCTTGATTTGAGCAAAGCAATGCTTAAATGTGGGTGGCTGAGTTGCAATGACACGCGCACATTTTTTTCAAACAGCTGCCACACTTGGTAGATGTGCTAGTAATTAATTGAACGTTAAGGTAATTAACAAAAATTTGCCAGTAAGCGACGCACACAACAACGTCGACGTCTTCGTCGTCGTTGTCTCACTTTCTACTTGCGCTTCATAATGTGCTAAATTTGGCCGAAGCGCATGCACAGTGTTGCAAAACAGTTGATTGGCTATTGTACGCTATGCAGCACTAGCACTGCCTTTGGTTCTTCTGCTTCTTTCGCCTGGTGCTGTTTTAGTGTAATCTAATTTTTCTATAAAAACTTTGTTATTATCAATGCACAAACACTTTGCAAATTATTTAAAAGCGTCAGCTGCTAATTTCTTGAATGAAACTATGAAAGTAAATCGCTGAATCGTTAAAAGTCGCAGTCGTCGTCGTTAATCGCCGCAGTCGTCGTTGTGTGCTCTTCACATTTGTTTACCCTTTGTCTTGTGTTCTTGTTCTACGTGTTTGCGTTCCTTGTTCACATCAACCAACCTGTATAAATCTTCTTGACGTCACAACGCGCTGAACACGCCCCCGCCAGGAAACATTGACCTGGACCAACCGACCGACCGACCGACCAAGTGACCAATTGGCGCAGCACAGCGGAATGTGGAAGTGCCACAAGTGCGGCAAACCCGTTTACTTTGGTAATTTAAACACCCACACATGCATGTGCTCCTATATGTACACTCACTCACTCACGGGCACACACTCGCTCTCACCCACTTACACCCGCACGCTCATACATGAACAGATTATAACAGTCGTGATGTGCATGCCATTTGTTTAAATAATAAGCATTCAAATTACATATTTCGATCCAACACAGCGGAACGTAAACAATCACTGGGCTATGATTGGCATCCGGAATGTTTGCGCTGCGAAGAGTGCGGCAAGCGCCTTAATCCCGGCCAGCATGCAGAGGTATTTAATCAGCTAAGCATTTGCTGCAATACGCCATTAATCGCATGCATTTATTGTAATAGCATAAAGGAGTGCCTTATTGTCATGTGCCCTGCTATGGAGCGCTGTTCGGACCGCAGCTTTTTGGTCACGGCACGCGCGTTGAGTCACACAAGAGCTACGGTGTAAAAGGCGCGCAGAAACCAGTCGCCGCTCAGGCTAATGGACCCGCGCTTCCCCGCGACCATTTGGAGTCCAAGCTGAAGGTATGATGCATTTATTTGTATATAATTAGCGGAACAAGTTTTATTTGAAATTGTTTACAACTTTCAGGTTTACAATCAATTTTATGATAATAAAAGCCTTGAGATACGCAGCCGTGAAGTTAACAATCGATTGATCTTGGAGGGGCCATTGCGTGTGTTTTGGGGCGTCCAGGGCGTTATTCATCTGAAGGAGGACGATGATCAGCGTACATTTATAGTCCGCAAACGCAACTCCTGCCGTGCATCCAAGGCTCAAGATGTAAGTTTGCATAGCTGACATAGGTTTCCCATCAATTCATTGACTCTTGTTGCCAAGCAGGAAAGCTGCTCGGACAAGGAAAACGAGGGCAGCGAATCGGTGGCACCTCCCACGACTACAGCCAGTGAGGCTGATCCACTCTCCACGGACATTTCGTTGTCAGAGAGCATGACTTTTGATTCATGTAGTTTGAATGAGATATCGGAGCTGCCGACAACACCGGAAGATGCCTCCGCAAACACAACGCCGGGCAGTGAGCAGGTTGTAAACGGACAGTCGAGCTCCAACAATGATGACGAGGATGTAACGAACACAGATTCCTCGAGCACGTTAATTGGCAGCGCCACGGACGCTATTACGGCCAGCACCAGCTGCGTATCGAGCACGTTGCCCTCCAAGTTAGACAACCTAGAGAAGCTGGACTGGGATGATATTGATGACTTGCTGCAAGTGGAGCGACGTCAGAGTGAGAAGGACAAGGTCTATGAAACGATGCCCGTTAAGCTGCCGTCTTCATCGTCACAATCGTCCAGCGAGAGCTCGCCCAGTAAGACGTGCTCCTCCAGCACAACTTCGACAAACACGCAAAACAATCAAATCAACACTGCCTCATCGCCGACAACAACCACAAACACCACGACGAGCAGCAGCTCAGATAACTTTATGACTGCCACGGGCTCTTTGACGACGAATACCAATACCCAGAACACAAGCACTGTAAGCACTAGCAACACCACGCTGGATGACTACAAGACATCGGATGACGCAACGCTGAAGCCCATGGACTACGAGGACTTTAAGCGTAGCGTTCATCAGGATTATGTGAATGGTGCCAACTCGTTTCAGGAGCCAAATGACGACACACTGAAACGCAATCAGCCTATCGATCCCTCTCGCATACACGACTCCCTGAAGCTCTACGGCGAGAATTCGGCTATGAGCAAGAGTTTCAATTGCGAGCACGCGCTGCGCTCCATTGATCCCACACTTATAAACGACACAATGCATTTGCGCAGCAGCGTCGACTCGCCTCGCTCATCGCAGCGTCAGTACGCCTTGCAGAAGAGTGGCTCTGCCTTTGCGTCAATAGCGCCCAGCAGGGAGCACCATAAGTCCTATGAGCAGGGCCGTCAGCTTTTCGAAAAGGGCATCAATCGCTCCAAGTCTGGTCCCAGCTGCTTTGTATATTCCGACAGTGATGACGATGACGATACTACGCTGCGCCCACATCGCTTGGCGACAGTGCGACGCAGTGATGTGCCTCAACGTTATATACAAATCCAAATGAATTGCTATCCCAAAGAAGGTGCAATCGAAAATGAGTCGAGCCGTGCCGATGCATCATCGGTAATATATTTTACTTCATTTAGTAGACAAACTTAAGATAAGGGAAGATGAGATGAATGAGTAGCTTTATGAATACGATTTGTTTACCCAAGCGGTATAATTTGTTTAAATATTTAAGTTAGGCTCACCAAGTCACAAGTTCTTTGAGCAGTATACTAGCAAAAAAGTATGCCTAGATTGCAATGTACTCTGCTTCCAGTTGTAGAAGCGTCTTACAGCGATGCTTATCTTACGCCTTTTGCATGTGTGCGTACATATTAAATAATAAAAGGCAAAGTGGGGTACAAATAAAACAACAGATATCAGGCACTTAGGTTTATTTTAAGTTTATCGTTATTTAATTATTTGAATAATGCTTATCTCATTTGTTTAGGTGCTAAGCGGTGCTGTGGCTGGCGACGAGCTGACTCAAACGGATGAGCTCTACACGGCCACTGAGGGCAGAGAAAGTGCCGCAGATGGCATTGGAACTAATGAGGCGGGCTTGCACGTGAATGAGGATGGCGTTGTCTTGAGAAGACCCCCGCGCACTGGCGCTGCTGCCATCAAACGTCGCAGTGGCAATCGGCGGTTAGTCAAGTCATTCCATTTATGCCGCAAATTTTTGTAATGGAATTAATATTTGCAGTTCGCGCACGAAGCTGAAACGTCGGTGTTCCATTAATGGACATTTTTACAATCGGGAGACATCGTTTTTCACGCCACCATACGGTTCCCAAATGTCCGTGTGGGTCACTTCGCTGGTCACCACCCAGGAGGTCATCAATTTGGTGCTGGAGAAGTATAAGGTGGATAGCGCCGCGGAGAATTTCTCGCTTTTCATCGTGCGTGACAACGGCGAACAGAAGCGCCTGAAGGACAATGAATATCCATTGATAACTCGCATTACGCTGGGACCGCATGAGGATGTGGCTCGCCTATTTCTTGTGGATGCACGCAAAACTGATGAGATCAGGTTGGCGACCCAATAAACTGGCCTTTTAGCAATTACTAAATTATCTACTCTGTTTTCAGTAATGAAGTTGCTCAATTTTTGAATCTATCGCTGCCGGAATGCCGTGCTATACTGGATCGCTATGATCAGGAATTGGCGCGTGAAATTGTCAAAGTGAAAGAGAGGTAGGCTAAAGGAAAATGAATATTTAACTTATTGGCGGGGTAAAGCTAATGCTTAACAAATCAATTTCCGCATATTTCTTGAGTTTCCTGAAGTTAATAAAGCTGAATCATTGTCTGTGGGATGGATTGACTGGGATTAGGTTATATTAGGTAATACCCTGCTTGAGGTATTACAGTTATTAGTTTTACTAACTCAAATTGAAATATTTCTACTACAATTTATGTCGTTCTTTTATTTCAGATACGCAGAGCTACGTCGTCGTATTGTCTCGCGCATGGAATCTCTAAAGGTGCATTTGTAATGCATGCGAACGGAATCTCCAACTGCATCAATTTTTTTTTACAGCCATAACGTTAATGCGGCCAAAAATGCGACAGCAGCCAAGCAAATAGTATTCCTTATGATAAATTTTCAAATAGCATTTAGGCACAATTACGCATAATTTAGTAAACCTTTGGCGCCCCAGTGAACAAATCAGCCGCTGTCCGGCCGCAGTTAATTTCATTTACTTTTTTCTTTGTGTTTCCTTTTTCAGATGTAACTAACAATCATTAGCAGGCATTTCCACTTTAGAAAGCGTTAAGACTTGTAACTAACCAAAAATAATATTAATCTGCACACCAACTGGCATAGAAACTGAATGAAATCATATTCTATGTGTTACAAATCAAAAATATGTTTATATACAACTTTAGAGCCATGGCTAACAGCAAGAACAACAATATTATGGATATGAATTATTTTTATAGCACCAAAGTGCGTTAGTTAATGAGCGCAACTTTTTTTTAGCAGGCCATTTAATAAAGTTTATAGATTGATCGATTGATTGAATGCGACAGCAACAATAACTATATTTAGTATAAGATGGACTTGTTGATTGAAAATCATTTGAGTATCAAATAAAATGTAAAGATCTAACAGACACGGAAACAAACCCATGTGGAACAGATTAACAAAAGCAATTCTCTAAGCATCAATAATTACCTATGCACAAACACTTGTGCTGTGACCCGTAGCACAAGGGGCTTGGCCAGGGCACTATCAGAGCAGAAGTCAGTGATGCCATTACCGAATGGGGAGTGGGACGTGGGACGTGGGACGTGGGGGCTATAGCTGCTAAACATCCAGACACGCACACACAAACCCAAGCAGAAACTCCTAGACCCTGCAAACACTCAACGCAACACGGCCTATGTGACTTGGTGTGCGGGGCTATTAATTTAAAACTGACAGAGCCTGGGGGCCCACGTGGCCTACGAGGCATGGACTTGGGCAAGTGCGGCGACTTGGAAGCTGCCTCTTGGGCAGCCTGCGAGGCGCTGACGCGTTAAATGGTTACGGGGTTTCCCGGCCAAAAACGCGCTGGCTATAATCGTGGCGACGGCGTCATCGATGCGGGCCAAGTGTGCCAAGCGCCGATACATAAAAATCAACAGCCAACGACAACTGCGACACAAGCGGCACAACAACAACCACAGTGGTCCATTTGGGATGTGAACGCGGCTTTGTCGCTGCTGGCAGGTTCACGACCCAATGGCCAAAAATTGCCGCGACGCAGTTAAGAGCATGGTCGCAGCGACGAGAGCCAACAGCCAGCTAGACGGAAAATAAAATCGATTTTGAATGCTGCTCGGCCCCACACAATGCTCTCTGGCTTGCAGTGGCTCGGCTGGTGGTGGCGCATCGTAGTGGTTGTCTTTTGGAAGCCCTTGGCGGTTGTTGTTAGCCCCAGCAAATCGAATGTGGCGTGAGAGCATGCGATGCGTCGCAGGGGTTGCACATTGCGCATACGCACTGACGTACACTGAAATAATATTGAGCTGAATTTTAAAAAAATTAAACATATGTGCTATAAAATTTGTAAAGCTTCGAAATTTCATAGCACAGTTTTATATAACCTTTATTATCATTTGCAGCCAGGCAACATCACTTAAGTTTGTCAGCTTGGATGGCAACCCTATGTCATGTAACACTCTCAGTTCCGCTCTCTTAGATGTCCTGGAGGCGCTCTTCTATCGCGCATTGCGCTTTCTACTCGGCTGCCGCAAAATTCCAATGCCGTTCGGACAGAGCAATGCAAATTAATTTGCGCTCAGTTTACGTTTTGGTCGCGTCGCATACAGTTCTATCACGTTCCGTGTGTCTGCTGCAGTGCATCCATCGTCCAAGTCCAAGACTTACACTTACAGGCGTGTGCGCGCGTGTGTGTGTGTCTCGCTGTTTGTTTCACTGTAGGTGTGTGCGTGTGTGAGCTATTCAAATTCTCGCATTCGATTGGACTAGCAATTAACATTGCCTAACGGAAATCGTGAACAATTCGCCACGCATTTGAGCCGCTTCCGCTAGCGTCGCTCGTCTCCTAACTGAAGGTTCCCTTATCATAGCTACCGTTGCCGTTGTATTTGCCATCGCCATGAAGCGTTCGCGTTTGCCGCTCACCGCCAGCGTTTGCCTGATCCTGGTGTTGATGTCATCCTGTCTGCTTGGCAGCGCCGATGCCAAGAAGAAGAAGTATGTTGGCGAAACTGGCGGCGATTTTGAGTTTATCGATGAGGTAAGTCACAAATAATTCCCAGCCGTATATCCCAACTGACTGTCAGCGTGTCTGGCTGTCACTTAGTTAAAGCAACTAAGCTCCTTGCTGCCAGCCCACTCTTCTCTATACCCATGCGTATCACTGTGTGTGTGAGTGTGTGTGTGTGTGCTTGGGTATGTATGAGTGTGATTTTGGCACATATAACGCATTTGGGCTTTTAGACAACTTTTTCTTTGCTTTTGGTCGCCAAGTTGTTGTAATACTCAGCCCTATGAAGAGGGTAGATTGAGCTTGAAAGTGTTTAAAAGGAAGCACATTGACTTTAGAGGCTGGAAACTTGATATCATTAGAGAGTGTATATTCAGTTGTACTCGGAATATATGGCTTCTGGGCTAGAGTCATTAATAAACTTAGTAACAGACAATAAGGTCATCGAAAGACCGAATCACTATAAGTCCAAAATCGATATCTGTTATTAAGCTAGGCAGATTATCTCTTCAGCTGCTCATTCGTGGATCGAACGTGTATTATTCAGTCAGTTTCATGCAAAACTTTCATTCGTTTTTCTCTCTTTTTCTCTCTCTCTATCTCTCTGCTGTCATTTTGTCACCTTTGCCAACGCTACTGAGGTTTCACTCTAAAAACCAGCAACAATAACAGGAACAACTGCAAACACAGGCTTACGCACGCACACACATACAGAAACACACACATCGAAAGCTACTTGGCAAAGTCATTTCTTCCTGCTGCGTGTTGCCAATACGCTCTAGGCCCAAACGCTTGTCTTGCCAATTACTCACGCAAATCCGATTTGTAGTTGCTGCATTTCTTGTGTGTGTGTGTTTTTGTTGTTGTTGTTGTTGTTGCTTTCTCACAGGTAGCCTGACAGCCAGCCACTGGTCGCGACTTTTGCTACTCTTCCCACTCATGACAGCCCAACAGCAGCAGCAAGTTAGACAGAACTAGAGAGATGAACAAAAAAAAAAAAACAACAAAAAAACAGTAAAAATCAATATCAACAGCATTGGCGGCTTCGAGTCGCTGGCAGCGCGTAAGCGTAAACTATGTAGTAAACACTAAGCAGATTTGAATTTGTCTACATAGAGAAACATACATACATGCATCCCCCCTCCTTCCTCTTCATCCTCTCCATGAACTTCGCAGTGCTGCTGCTGCTACTCCGTCTGTCCAGCGTCGTTTACTGTTAGTCACAGACGCTGTGTCGTCGCCGTTATTGCTATTTGCATTGTTTTTGCAGCCATTAGCCCTATGCGCCGACATTTTGCCATTCCGTTTTGTTGTTTCGTTTCTTGATGTTGTTGTATTTTGTTGATTTCCTTTTGGGTTTGTTTGGCATTTCATTTTATTTCTTTTGGTTTCCTCTTTGCCATCATGCTCTCTTTTCACATGTTTTATGCGTGGTCATTGCTTCGGCCCTCGCAATTTTTTTTCTCTGTTTTCTTATTTTGTTTTTTTCGGGTGTGTGTCTGTGTGTGTGTGTGTGTGTGTGTGTGTGTGCTATTAGGCCGATGCGAATGTGTGCTTGAGCCTCTGCCTTTGAGCTCTTCTTTCGCTGCTTCCCCACGCACACACACACACACACCCACCCACCCACCCACACACACATACCAGCACATGTCGAGTGGAGCCTTGAAGTAAATATATTGCCGAGCCAAAGTTAC